GCGCCTGGAAAGAAATGACGCAATTGTTCTTTGAGCTCGTGGATGGCTTGTTCAGGTGCCAGTTCGCACAGGATATAACACCAACGAATGGAGTTAACGCCATCTAACGTGAGTGCTTGGCTAAAGGATTAACCTCACCGTTGGATTGGAAACATCTGCGTTGAAGTATCTCTCCCAGTCCTACTGGGCAATAAAGCTTAGTAACACGATGTTCATGCAGAACTCGTGCCACCACGGCATCCCTCCCAAAAGTTCCTGTGCTGGGAGTGATCGCTTCTCAGTGTTCTCTATCACTCACCGTGCGCCATTCTCCTGGCAGCAGTATTTTGGGAATCTTGGCGTTGTCCTTCGCGGCGTGGCCGAAGAGCCAGGAGTGGGACTCGCAACGGACGCAGGACCAGACGCTGACGCATGTGCAGTCTTCTGCCTATGCTCCCGAGCCAGGCGCCACATGAACCGAGGGATGGCCTTCGCGATAGGTTTTTCAGTTGCCTGGCGACGCTGGGCCCAGTCTCCATCCATCAAAGGAGCGGCCCCACTATCAATGTATCAAAATTGTCTTGGTCGTTGGCTATCAAAGCCAGCGCACCCGCTGACCGAAGCCCTCGATCAGACAGGTATTGTTTTATCTCAGGACTCAGCACCTCCCCCCACTTCATTGGCCAGCTCCTCCACGCTAGTCCGACATGACACAGTCAAGAAATCGCTCAAAGCCTACCGGTCTACCGTGAAAGAAAACACCCTAGACCGAATAAAGCAGCTTGTCCTGTGCACCGTGCAATCAACAAAGTGATCCACGACTGAAGAAAGAAAACACGCAAACCCCCAAAGTCCCAAAGACGGCATCTGTGCGAATCATGACATGTACCACGCGCGCCGCTGTCCTGAACCGGGCACTGCGCAGGGGATATGAGAAATTGCGCAAACCTCAGCGACTCACTTGTCTGAATGCTGTCGAGCAACAAGCTCATCTCAGATCAACTCGCTCGGATCTGTGTCTCTGACTTGTCTTTACGCCGCCTCCGCGCAGCTCTTTCACGACTACTAGCATAGATCCTCGCTCAGACTGCGATCTGCTCGAAGCTGCCAATCGTGGGCAGGTCCAGCTTTGTAGCTGTTACGCACACACTCGGTGCCTTGGCAAGGCCTGCCCGCTCACACTCCGCTTGCCGTCGCAGCCCTATGAACAGAGATGTGGACACAGCAAGAAAGCCCTCGCAGATCTGAAGCAGGCCTGCAGACAAGCGTGCAAACAGCCAAACGGACACACAAGCCGGTCATTACTCCCTTCCAGCAGCTGCCAGCACGCAAGATTTTCTAAACGAGCGGAAACAAAACCGAGACCAGTCTGAAAGGATTGACTCGCGCTCCCGCTGAACTGCATGCTCTCATCATACTCTCCGATCACAGAGCTGCTCTCCGCGTCTGCGGATCGACTGCTGCTACCAGATGAAGATGAGGAGGAACTCGATGAAGACGAGCTCCTCGGATCCCAGCTCCTCTGGCAGCTGGCAACACTGCTCCTCCGCTGCCTCTCCTGCAGGGATCCTAATTAAGTTCCTGGTCCTGTAGGGCCAGCCAGACCGTCCTCCACTTTCGGGGAGGATTGCTGTCCTCATTTACCTTGATCTTGTAACAGAGCAACGCAACTTTTCACACACACTTTGAGCCTGGTCCCGCGGTCGTGTGCTGCTGCAGCACTACACAAGTTAAACAAAGGGAAAACGGGGTTTGGTATGCATTAAAGTTTTGTTACCCCCCTTGGAATGCACTAGGTACACTCTGGTGCTTTCCACCGCAAAACTGGTGCTTCTGCGAGTATTTCACTCGCCTCTCATATGAGTCTGAAGTTCACCACTGAATAAAGCGTGGCACGACACGCAATGGCTCTTTACAAAACTACGCTGCAAAAGGACTGCTGTTTGAAGGGAGTACAGACTGATGTGCAAAGTAAATGGGCTCTATACACAAAGCGAAACTACTGAGTAACTACTGCTGTATCTGAGGATCTAAAAGCGCGGATGACTAAACATCCAAAAGCGTCTGTCCTCATTGGAGAAATCAATCAAACGACCTCACACGAACTTGTTGCACGAGCTCACACCTTCACCCATGGAACTGGTAGTTCAAGTACACAAGGAACGTCTCTCAGCGCTGGCCCAACGGGTATGGTTTGCATTGCTTGCGCGGCCGCATGCGGTAGGACTTTCGTCGTCGCTGCTGTTCGGTCGCTCGTCTGGGCCATCACAAAGTAGCCAACCTTCTGAGTCTGTCGGTTCTTCACGCTCAGCGTTCCTTGTCGTCGAAGAGGAGGAACACACAACCACGAGGATCATGCAAAGCAGGAGCGCGAGAAACATTGTCATGTAGATGTCCTGCGTGCTCATGGCGATCAGGTACCCCATCCAGGAGTGGCCGCCCTCATTCTCCACATCAGCTTTCACAAACTCCCCGGTTGCACCACCACTCTCAAGTAGCAAAGCCAAAGCTCTGAGAACATGTGCGGCTCCCATGTTTGTAACCACTGGAACTGGAACTGCTGAAACTTGACGCGTGAGGGTAAAGCTACCAACGCCCATGAGGCTCATGAGATGTGTCATTCTCAATCTAGAGTGGGATTTTGTCTGCAAATCTGCTGGGCAATCTTTCGTTGGAATGGGCCTTGTCTCAAAGACCCCCTCGTTGAGTGCATTCTGAGCCCAAAGGAAGCCTAAGCTTATATGGCGCATACGACCTAGCCCTTGCCGCTGAAGGATACTCCGAGTAGCTGAATTGTCCACCATGTGCACAAGCTTCACTTCCGCTTGGGCTCCCACCAAGAACTGCAACATGTGTTTTATGAAGATGCCTTCCGAGAGTCCCAGGAGCGTGGCCATCCGCTCCGACTCTGCTGAGCTCGAGCTCAGGCTGATCACCTTCTGAACTCGATTACCTGCATGGCACAAGTTGCCGTTCACAAAGTCACAAAGATGCAATACGACGACACTGATCTCCTCTCGGAAAAGGCTTGACTTCCCCAATCTGCATCTGTCACTACCTCCACGACATGTTGTGTTCCAAACGGCATCGCACTGGGGTCTCAGGCTCATCTGGATCTACTCCATCCCACTTCTGTTTCAACGTTTTACCAGGCACTGTCCTCTGCAACACAATCGGGATCACGGGGTACAACTTGATGTATTTCACAACGTGACGCAGGAGGCCAAAGTCCGAACTAGTAGGCGAACTACCTCTTGAAGACAACACCTTCACAATGTACTGCAAGTCCGGTCTCTCTGCACTCATGTACATGAGGATGCCCACGCATCTCTTGTACACATGGAGGTGCTCTGCATCTACGCTTTCTCCTTCCCCTGGGGCAGGTACTTTCGGAGGGCTTGGGTTCTGTTTCCCATGGGCCTTTTCCAAACCAAGGATTGACTGCAAGCGCTCGGCATACTTGGTGTCTTGGATCACTTCGATGGAGCCACCAAACCCTTGAAACTTCTTCTTCAGAAAATGCGAACAACCACCATCCAAACTGACGGGACCATCCACCTTCACTTTCAAGCCTTCTGTCTTGAGTTCGTTCGCGAGCTTCATGGGAACCCCTTTCGAAGCCAAGATCTGCAAGTCATCGACATGGCTGTTGAGGGCTAAGTCCTGAACCTTGCCAAACAACGAGGGATTGCCATCAAAGCTCTTGAGGTCATGCTCCTTGAGAATGTCAAGGAGGTGTGTAAACCAATCTTTGACCCCTGCTCTCTGTCCCGGAAGATTATAGCAAAGTTCGAGGTCACCGATGTGCGTTTGAATGAACATAGGTCTCCGCTGTTTTACTTGCAAGTAGGCGTCGGTGATATCCAGGGATAACAGCTCCAGTGAACTGTTCCCTGCAGCCAAACACGCAAGGAGCTTATGACTTGAAGCAACAGAAGCTGGGCGTCGGTCAAAGAGGGCTCCAAGAAGCGGTATTCTTTAGCAACGAGTCGAGCTCTACGAACCCAGCCATTCCGGTACCGCCAATCCAGTACATACTTGCATTGCAGACGAACTTTACCTTCTCTATCACGCTCACCATTCATAGGCTGCAGCACTTTCACGCCAAGGAGGCGGTCGAGCTCTTTGAGCTCCATCTGGCGGTCGAGCTCGAGGAGAACCTCAGGTTCAAGTTCAGGAGGGCCCTGAGCATACTCTCGACCTTCCCAAGACATACCTTTATCTCCTCGCTCCGGCTCGGAGTTCGTGGGGAACTCGCTCTCACTCTCAGATTCCTCCTGCAACTCTGGTTCCAAGCTTTCTTCGGGATCACATACCGCAGCTTCTTCTTCATGGCCGTGCGGTTGGTCTTCTCTGACAACAAAAAGGATGCACTGTCAGACCTCGTGCAGTCGGAAACGTTTCGGCTGGAGGCTGCTTAGAGGATCGTCTGATCCGGTAGAATGGTGCCCAGGACAGGTCAACAAAACTTTAAGGGTGCTGTGAATCAGCCCTCCTGTGCAGACTGCCGCTTGACCTTTGCCTGGAACCGGCATTTCGGCCCATAAAGGCCGCTTGAAGCAAAAGCTACTTTGTCAAAACCGAAAAACGTGAGCTATTGCGCGATCTTTTTGCACTCCGCGGTTGTCATATTATATATGCACAATGTACACACACATACGCCCTATTATATATGTACAATGTACACACACATACGCACATAAACGAGGCACCAAAATCTAGGTCCGGTGTTCGTTGCGCCGACCCGACCCGATTCGGGCGTCCCCACCATCCGCTTCCAGATTCGGCCTCCGCCGATCTGCAATCGTGCTATATCCGTTCGTACCTTGCATCCGATCCGCGCGATCTGATTCGGGCGACCACCACATGCTTGGAATGGGTGTAGCGTGGACATGAGGTTTGGTTCCAAATCTAAGATTCGGCAACCTTGTCATGTGGGGCCGGCGGACGGGGTTCGTGCCGTATGACTTTGCATGAGCCAGAAGCACTGGTTCTTGCCCAAGAGCAGTTGACGTCCTCAGGACATCTATGCCGGCGCCGCGACCTTAGCGGCTTGCGGTCTGGCATCGGTGCAGCGGCGTGCAGTCTGGCATCGATGACACGCCGAGCGTCTCAAAGCATCTTGACCGTCATGTTCACAAACTGAGGAATGCCTGAGGCCAAAAGACATCAGTGGCTATCATGCAGCCTGGATGAGGAAGTTGAGTTGCAATCTCTTCAACTCCGAAGAGTGGTCTGAGTGGATCATAGTGAATTTCCATGAGTGTGGTTAGAGGTGTGTTGAAACCAACCGAACGCTGGCACAGTTCCTAGACTCCTAGACATTTCGGATTCAGGGTCCCGCAGCAGCCCGATTCCTCCAGTTTCCCTGAATCCTGAATCTTTTGTCTTAGGCTCTCAGACCCTGGGAAGTGTTCAGGTGACAGAGCTCAGCATGGCGCGGACGCAGCTCAACGTTTTGGCCCAGTGCGCTGCCAAATACAAAGGTGCCCAGTGCCGACTTCGAGTCCGACAGCGCTGTTGGGGTAGGGTTTGAGTTCACCCCTTGAGGCCGGACCGCCCATGTTTGGGAAGTCGCGTTCCTGGCCAGGTGCCGCAAAGGTGTCAGGCTGCCAGTCTCATGGCGATCCGTATGCGCTGCGGCTGGCTTAGATCCGAATCCCACCAGATGCAGCCAATCCGGTTGCCTCGTGTGCTGCTGTTTCAGGTCCGGCTGCGAACCGGAAGTGTGCGTTGCACCTAGCACCCTCACCGGCTATGTGGTCAAATCTGTGGACTTGAAGCGGCCCTCCTTCACAGCGAATGTTCTGTGCGACAACGATAACGGTTTCTTGGGAGTCCGGCGTGATTTTCTTTTTTACCGTAAATGGGAGAGGAACAACATGCACAGTGAAGCGCTTTTCCTGATGCGTCTTCACGCCGGCAGGCTACCATGGCACGGCTATTGCGGAGGTGTGTTCTGCCAACGGTCACGAGTACACTCTCGGGGGCTGTGGCACTACAACCTCAACCAGCACAACAACAACGACCTCGACAACGACATCAACCACAACCACAGCAGCATGATTGCAGTCTGCCCATTCTGTACCGATGGTCAAGGGCAGGCGCAGGTGCAAGAGACCTTTTTGGAAGGAATTCACGAAGCGGTCAATCATGAGTTCGAATCATGATGAAGCGTTGTTTGTAGGCGAAGACCTCAGGCAAATTGGGCATGCACATGCATGGGCATGCAAACACATAGACACATAGACAGACAGACAGACAAGCAGACAAACATACAGACATGTTTGCATGTAAGGTTTTTCATGCATGCATGAATGTACACGTCTGCACACGGTTCGTCGTGCATGTGTTCAGGCGGGCGGGCGTGAATGCATGCGTGCGCGTCTTTGTGTGCGGGTGGGTGCGGGTGAGTATGTGAAGACCTTTAGCTCCCTTAAAGTGAGTGAGAGAAGATGCCGCTTCGAAGTGTCGCCGCCCAGACCTTCACAACGACCACGACCAAGACAACGACCAGTACAACCACAACGACGACCACGACAACCTCGACTACAACCATCACCACCACAACAACTAGTACTTCGACGACAACCACCACTACAACATCGACCATCACGACTACATCGACATTGACATCAACTTCGACCACAACTACAACAACTACTAGCACGACTACCAGCACAAGTACGTCCACAACGACCACGACTACGTCGACTTCCACAATCACGACGACCACTACGACCACAAGTACAAGTACCAGCACAACAACAACGACAACCTCGACAACTACCTCTACCACAACGGTGACCACTACCACTACCTCAACTACGACAGCCACTACAACCACGACGAGCACGAGCACCACCACCACAACAGTCACATCGACCACTACCACGACAATCACCTCCACTACCACCACATCAACGACGACCACGACATCAACCACAACAACAACTCTTACAACGACTTCGACCACGACAGAAACGACAACTTCCACGACCACCACGACTGTAACTACAACCACGACATCCACGACGACAACGACAGTCACGCAAACCACAACGACGACCAGCACGACGACCCTAACAACAACGAGCACCACTACTATCACCACTACAAGCACCACCACAACTACCAGCACCACCACAACAACCACCACGACCAGCACAAGCACAACGACTACAACAACGAGCACGACTACCACCACCAGCACAACAACAGTGACCAGTACAACAACTACAACCACGAGCACAACTACGTCCACAACGACCATCACGAAAACAAGCACTACAACTACGACCACGTCAACATCTACCACAACAGTGACCACGACGAGCACTACGACCACGTCAACCACCACAAGTACCACTACGACAACAACAAGCACTAGTACAATTACCACTACATCCACAATTACTTCCACAATCACGACCACCACTACCACTTCCACAACCACATCAACAACTACCAAAACAACAACCACGACGACCACAACAAGCACATCAACCACGACCACCACTACTTCGACATCTACCACCACAACCACTACGTCTACAACGACAGCTACGACGACGACTACAATCACCACTACCACGACATCCACGATCACGACGACCACCACAACCACCACGTCGACCACTACTACAACTACGAGCACGTCCACATTCACCACTACTACAACCGTTACCACGACTTCCACTACGACGACCACAACTGTGCTGGTCTGTACAGCGCCGCCGGACACTACAGGTCGGGACTTCCTTTTTGTCCCTTTCAGCTGTCACAAAGAAGATTTCTGTGTATCCACGGTCCACGCACACGACTTGACAGGCTATCTCGTCACTGAGCATCAGTTGCAACAGGAAGAGTTCAAGGTCACAGTTGCCTGTTCGGACGAGTCCCTTGGGCAGCCATGCATGTTGCATCTGGTGCGGCTATGTCGATCTGTTTCTTCCGACGAAGGCAGACCTGCAAATGGTGCACGTGCCTCGACACCCGAGGTACATCGGGATCGCCGCTGTGGTTGCATGCACAAAAGCGGACACTGTCTACAAGCTGAGTGGCTGTGAGAAGAAAGTTTTCTGCCGAGCCTCAACAAAGCAAGGCCGGCTTACTGCCATGTCACCGCCGGCCGACCTCAGCATCTGACGAGCGACACGTGGTGAGCGGAAGTCGATTAGAAGCAGCCATTCGGAAGGCTCCAACCATCCGTGACAGGAGCATGAACTTGACAAGATGAACCGAGTGCAGAGGACAAACTATTCGGAGGACACAAATGTACGGAGCAGCAAAAAGGACATAGCACACCATGGTCGCAACCAGAGGCACAAGGACCTCCAAAGCATGAGCCTTGTCCCCATTTGCCGGTCGGTGCACCGATACAGCGAACCGGCACCAAGAACAGGTCTTGGTGTATGGGGACCGCAACTCAGGTTACCAGAGCCGTAAAAAAGGCCAGTGTGCACACCACATGAGAAAATGCAACAAGCATCCGTCAAATGCAAGCGGAAGGACGGCACCAAGCCGAAGAAGCACCAACAATCGGCGCGAGTCCGGCTTTGTCATAGGAAAATCCGATCGAGTGGGACTCCGTCCGTGAACTCGAAGGGAAGCTCGTGCCGGGGGAGTCTTGGGAGGCGACCAAGGGCGTCCCTGGGCAGAGGCTCTGACAACTCTGACACAGATTTTATAAACCCTCCGAGGGAATGCGCGATCTGCAGAATAATTTCGAGAAAGGTTGGCTCCTTCTTCCCACGTTGACAAAGTTTCGCGAGAAGAGAAGGGCTTCCTGTTTCTGTCGAAGTCACGCCTGACGTGCTACTGCAGATGCAACGTGTTTTCCAAGTCATTTTACTCTTTGCATCTTGTCCTCAAACCCGCATTCCAAGACGGAGCAGGTTACGATGTCGACGAGAGGAGTCTTGTTATGCAGTCCTTCGATGTGACAGCGAAGTGTGCAGCCGGCTTTACTGGGTCAGCCAAGGCACCGCAGACTTTGCGAGTTTTCCCAGTTTTTGCGTCGCCGGAGTGTTCTGGCCGCCTGAGGTCGAAGCATGCTCCAAGACGGACGACACCTACACCCTCAGTGGCTGCCAGCCCTTCCGCCTCTGCCTGGCACCGGTTGCCTGCTCAGCAGGAGGGTTCGTTTGGTAAGCTAAGCCGGGTGTGGAGGTGCTGTTTGTCTGGTGTGAGCCACGGCATGAGGCATCAAGCAACGGCTACACAATCGAAGAGAGAAGCTTGCGAATCAGCACTTTCGACGTGAAGGTCACGTGCGCGGCAGGCTACACGGGGACTGCCGCAGTACAAGCGTGTACTTCTGACGGGGACACCTACTCACTGTCCGGCTGTGATTTGGATCCCATTTGTGTTGCTCCCGAGGGTCTCGAAGCATACAGTGTGACCGAGTCCAACCTTCACAAAAGCTCCTTCGATGTCAGTGCTGACTGTGCAAAGGGCTACGTCGGACAGGCAACGGTGACTGCTTGCACGAACGACGGAGAAAAGTATGAGGTCACTGGATGTAAGTTGGACCCGGTGTGCGCGGCTCCGGAGGATGCAACAGGTTACATGGTCACAGAGACCCATCTCAGTCTTAGCAAGTTCGATGTGCAAGTCGAGTGCGCCGTCGGGTTTGAGGGAAAAGCATCAGCAGAGCCGTGCACGTCAGATGGTGATCGTTATATGCTCTCCGGTTGCGAAAAGACAGTGGTATGCATTGCTCCGTCGGACTCGACAGGCTATGCTATCTCGGAGATTGATCTTAAAGCGGAGAGCTTCGATGTGAAAGCAGAATGTGCTGCTGGTTATTTGGGCACTGCGGCCGTAGCAGCATGCTCTTCAGATGCAGAAGAGTATGTGCTGTCAGGCTGCGAGAAGGCCAAGGTATGCAGTGCGCCTGCGGACGCAACAGGCTACGATGTCACAGAAACTGTGCTTTCCCAAAGCAAATTTGACGTGACGGCAGCCTGTGCCGCTGGTTATGTGGGCACTGCAGTCGTTGATGCATGTTCTGAGGATGGAGCAGCATACAGCTTGTCAGGCTGCGAGAGGGACAAGATATGCAGTGCGCCTGCGGACGCAGCAGGCTACGACGTAACAGAGACCGTCCTTTCAGAAAGCAAATTTGATGTGACAGCAGCCTGTGCTGCTGGATATTTGGGCACTGCAGTCGTTGATGCATGTTCTGAGGATGGAGCAGCATACAGCTTGTCGGGATGTGAGAAAGACAAGATGTGCACTGCGCCTGCGGAGGCGACAGGTTATACAGTTACGGAGGCCCATCTTGCAGGAAGCAAGTTTGACGTGACGGCAGAATGTGCAGATGGCTATCTCGGAACCGCCGTTGTTACAGCCTGCACCGCGGATGCAGAAGCGTACACACTGTCGGGATGTGAGAGGGACAATATTTGCTCTGCTCCGGCTGATACTACCGGTTATGCCGTAACGGAAGTCGTTCTGCAGGCAAGCAAGTTTGATGTGACCGTGCAATGTGCCGCTGGTTATTTGGGCACTGCAGTCGTTGATGCATGTTCTGAGGATGGAGCAGCATACAGCTTGTCGGGATGTGAGAAAGACAAGATGTGCACTGCGCCTGCGGAGGCGACAGGTTATACAGTTACGGAGGCCCATCTTGCAGGAAGCAAGTTTGACGTGACGGCAGAATGTGCAGATGGCTATGTCGGAACCGCCGTTGTTACAGCCTGCACCACGGATGCAGAAGCGTACACACTGTCGGGATGTGAGAGGGACAATATTTGCTCTGCTCCGGCTGATGCTGCCGGTTATGCCGTAACGGAAGTCGTTCTGCAGGCAAGCAAGTTTGATGTGACCGTGCAATGTGCCGTCGGCTACGTGGGCACCGCCGCTGTGACGGCATGCTCCTCGGACGGAGAAGCATACACCTTGTCCGGCTGTGAGAAGGAAAAGACCTGCAGTGCTCCTGCAGATGCGACAGGCTACGATGTCACAGAAACTGTGCTTTCCCAAAGCAAATTTGACGTGACGGCAGCCTGTGCCGCTGGTTATGTGGGCACTGCAGTCGTTGATGCATGTTCTGAGGATGGAGCAGCATACAGCTTGTCGGGATGTGAGAAAGACAAGATGTGCACTGCTCCTGCGGACGCAACAGGCTACGACGTCACAGAAACCGTGCTTTCCGAAAGCAAATTTGACGTGACAGTAGAATGTGCATCCGGCTATGTCGGAACTGCCGCCGTGGCAGCATGCTTTGCGGACGCAGAGCCATACACGCTGTCCGGCTGCAAGAAGGAGAAGCTCTGCATTGCTCCTGCAGATGCTACAGGCTACACCGTCACCGAGAACACGCTTTCAGAGAGCAAGTTCGATGTGACAGCAGAGTGTGCAGATGGATATTTTGGCACAGCCGCGGTTGCAGCTTGCTCTTCAGATGGAAGTCCATACTCTCTGTCTGGCTGCGAGGAGGACAGGATGTGCACTGCTCCTGCGGAGGCGACCGGTTATACAGTTACGGAGGCCCATCTTGCAGCGAGTAAGTTTGACGTGACGGCAGAATGTGCCAAGGGGTATGTGGGTGCAGCTGTGGTGACAGTTTGCTCTGCGAATGCAGATGCATACACTTTATCTGGCTGTGCGAAGCCTATGTTATGTGTCGCAGTTGAAGATGCTACAGCCTACAAGATCACAGAAACCTCCTTGTCAACGAGCAACTTCGACGTAAGTGCTGAGTGCGCTGAGGGCTATGTGGGAACAGCGAGTGTATCTCCCTGCTCCAATGACGGAGAACCGTATATAGTAGACGGCTGTGCCAAGAAGCGCTAAATCTGAGAATGTTCCGTCCGGACGCTACAGAGCTGCTACTCACAGAATTGATATGCTGAAAAAATTGGTTGCATGAATTGATGATACAAGATTTCTGATTCATATTGTTGCCCCAATTATTCGTCGAATTCAAATATTCAATAAATACTATGCATACCCTTGTAATTTCATTATTAGGCGCGTTTCTTTTTGAAAACTTCTTATGTGTTTGTTTCGCGGAGCACATATTTCGGAAATTATAATACCATACGCACTTCTTTCCCGTTATTAAAATTTCCGAAAGATGGGTAGCTTTAGGAACTTTCGTGGAATTAATATTTTAGAATTTTGGTAGTTTTAGAGGGAATACTTTCAGAAATAAAAATTCTAAAAATTTGGGTAGGTATATTTACGAATATGAAATTTCTATATATATTTATGATACTAAAGCTTACGGGAATGAATAGTTATCTGCCTTTATTATTATATTTATATATATATATTTGGATTATGAATTGATTAAAATTCTTTATATGTCGTATAGCAATTGCTAGAATATATTAAAAAAAAATTATCTCAAAAATTTAATGCTATATAATTATAATCTATTCTCTCTTTATTTAGGATGGATTAGATATTATATAAAGCGTCGATTGGAAATCGGTCGTTAGAATCTTAAGAATAATTATTAGAATAGAGTTCAATATAAATTGAAATATTCTTATTATGCTCTATTCTCTGATATTAAGATTGTGATTTCTTTGAGGTAAAGTCGGAATTAATAATGGTCGATATTAATAATAAAGGTTTGGTCTAAACCTTTAAGTAAGTTTCTCTAGGGAGGGCGGGCGTAAGATAATCGGGATGCTGGGTGCTTCTTCCTCATCTAAATCCTAGTCGAACCCCAAATCCAAAACCTTATGTAAGCCCCCTAAGCCAGAACGCCTAACTGCTAGGCCCAAGCCCTCAAGACCCCAACCCTAAAGGCGTGCGGCTTTGTATGGCTTGAGTTGCTTTGAGATCGGTTTGAGGTCGGTTTGAGCTCGATATGGCGTGAATCGTGCGGGAAATTAGATTATTTGTGGACACAATTGGTGCGTCTCATGAGCCTCGCATCCTGCTCCAGTTTTAGGGATGTAAGCTTTGAGAATTTGGAATTTAGTAAGCAGAGGCGGTCCTATCTTTCTCTGATATATGAATATATATATAATTTATAAATGAGTAGGTATGTGTGTATGTATATATATATATATATACGTGCGCGGGTATCTCCATACGTATGAGGGTGAATATATTATCTATATATTGTTTGGTTTGTTTTGTGGTATATTTATATATATATATATATATTTAAGATTTATATATGACACGTACGCGTGCAAGGGGAGGAGGTGAGGATGGAGCCCATCCTATATATACATATAATGAAAAGATGACCGCCTCATGCAGTTTACTAAGACCCAAGTGCGAAACCTCGATCCCTAGAGCTGGGGCAGGACATGAGGCGCATGCTGCACGCCAGCTTTCATGCCCATAAAGATCGAACTCCCCACACGACTGGCCTCAAACCGACGGGCAATTCGAGCAATTCTATGCCCCGGGGTTTGGGTTCGGCTTGGGCGGCTGAATAACCCGTCCCGAAAACACCGCGTGCAAATGTCTAGCAATTCCGCCATTGTCACAAATGTCCAGCAAACTCTGCCATTTTCACCAAAGTCAAGCAAATCCACCGTTTTCGCGCTGGTTTTTTTATATTTTTTGCTTCGTTATCCCGCTGCCCGTTCCCCGACTCTCTCCCGATTCTCCCCGCCTCTCCCCGCCTCTCCCCCGACTCTCCCCGACTCTCCTCTCTTTACTTTAGTGCCCGACACCCGCGTCCCCGACTCTCCCCGACTCTCCCCGACTCTCCCCCGACTCTCCCCCGACTCTCCCCGGCTCTCCCCGACTCTCCGCCCGGTTTTTTCATTTTTGTTCACCGTCTTAGGTCCGATAGCGCGCGCAGAATATTTTCTGGCTCGTTCCTGTGTTTGCTGGCTGAAGTAGGGGCTGCTCCAGATTTTCGTCCGGGAACCGAGCCAGGAAGGGGGTTGCTAGAGGGCCCGGGGAGTGAATCAAGGGACGGCGGGGCGAGCGCTCGGAAATTAAGGAGGAGGTGTGGGTGTGGCTTCAATAGTGTGTCATGGCTATAACTCCCTCAAGTTGCAAGCTGGAGTTACAGCCGCCAAAAACACAGTGAACACGGCTTCTTTTGTTCCGCTTGAATCGCCATGCATCGCCATGCGTTTTGGCTGGAAAAACTGAGGATCTTTCAGGCTAAAGGATTAGGGCCGTGTCGCAGCCCAGCTTGGCTTCGACAGGGTACGGCTGTCAGTATCCCCCCCGATCTACCCTCCCCACTCCGCCCAACAAAAAGAAGATGACTCTATTAACCGAATCGACAGCTCTGCCTGCTCACGGCCTGAAGGCGGCTCGCAAGCCCTTTTGAAGTTTCGGCTCATGGTTTTTGGTCCAAGCTCGAGGTTTGGTCCCTATCGGTGGTTTGCACCGGTTCTTGTTGCAGGGCTTTGGGTTTGGGGCATGGGTCTTTTTGAAATCAAGATTTATTGTAGGGCCCTGTCCAAGCTTAAGCCCTAGAATTAATTCCGAACCCTCAGCTTTGAGCCCTACAAGCCCAAAGTTTGAACTCTGCATGCTTTGTGCTCGAAGCGTCGTATGCTGTTTCTTGTCGTTTGGATTCCGGGTCCAAGGTTCTGTTCAGGCTGTTTTCCTAACGCGCAGCGATTGCGCTTCTACCAACTTGGTGAAGTTTAATGCCTCACGGTAACACTCAGAATTGGTTGGATGTATTGTGCCATATCTGCTTTTTGTTGGTCTCGGCGAAATTTGCTTTGGATTCTCAATTTCTAGCACGGCCACTGGTTTAGTTAGGGAGGGAGGGAGAGTGGCGGGAGCGGAGGGGAGGCGGGGCGGGGCTGGGGGAAGGGGGCGGGGCGGGGACTACGATTTCCGACAACGACCGGCCCCCCACTGACCGGGATGGGCACGGAAGACGTCGGTAGGTCTCGGGATAGAAATCAATATCTGCCGACCTTCCGACGCCCGCCGCGCCCAGCTCGCCACACACTCACCCGTTGTACCTCGCCGGGGACTTGACAAGATTTTTGAAGATCGGAAATAATAATGGAGAAGATTGGACCAATTTTTGCCAGGCAAGCAAATATGATAAAGATGTCATAAATCTGATAAAAATAAATAAATAAAGAGGATGCATACAAGATTTTGGAAAAAAAAAATGGGAATAACTAGTCGACAAAATTTTATCCGATCCTCTCTGCTATCATTTCCTTATTTATCGGTAGGAAATGACGACGCAGAGGATTGGACCAAATCTAATCAGGCAAGCAAAGAAAATCTAGATAATGAAAATATAGAAAAGAAAATAATTAAAGATGATGCATGCAAGATATTGGAAGAAATTCCGGCAAGAATTTGTCGTCAATATCTAATCTGATCTTCTCTGTTGCCATTTCCTTGGTTACCCATAAAAATGACGGCGACTAGTTATTCCCATAATTTTCTTGATATTATCGATGAGAAATGGCAGCAGAAAGGATTAGGCAAGCAAATATAATTCAGATGGCATAAATATGATAAAGATAATAAGCGAAGATGATATATATAAGATTTTAGAAAAAAAGCCGGGAATAGTTAATCGACAAAATTTTATCTGATCCTCTCTACTATCATTTCCTTATTTATCGATAAGAAATAACGGCGGAGAAGATTGGATCAAATCTTATAAGGCAAAGAAAGATAATATAGATAATATAAAAAAATAAAAATAATAATCAAAGATGATATATGCAAGATATTAGAAGAAGATCTAAGAATAATTTGTCATCAATATCTGATCCGATCCTCTCTATTGTCATTTCCTTGATTACCCGTAGAAATGACGGCGATTAGTTGATCCCATAATTTTCTTGATATTGTCGATAAGAAATAACAGCAGAGAGGATTAGATTAAATTTTGGCAGGCAAATAAAGATAATTCAGATGGCCTAAATATGATAAAAATACTAAATGAAGATGATATAGATAAGATTTTGAAAAAAAATCCTGAATCAATTAATCGATAAAAGTTGGTCAAATCTTCTCTATTGCATTTCCTATCGGTAATCAAATCAAATTTCCGAATTATAATGAAATTCGATATATTTAATGATGATATTCATTGAGCTATCATATAAGATATCCAGATTATCAAATATTCATACCGGTCACCTAGCCAAAGATCCGAACTATATGGAAAGCCGATATTTAATATGATGGCAGATATCAGATTATCAGATTAGATATTAGATAAATCGAATATTCATGTCGAATAACAAGCCAATCTTCCGAAATCTATGATAATTTGATATTAAGCTATATCTCAAGGCATATCTGAAATTTTCCAGAATTATATTTATTCGATCAATAGTTTATTTATATATAATATTTAGCTAGGAATTATATATTATATATAAAAAGCTAGTTAAATAAATCCTAAAGCTATCGATATATATATATATATCAGAAATCTATATAAACTATATAATTCAAGATTTCATTCAATTTTGATATTATTTCTTGAATTTTCAACAATTTAAAATTATTTTCAATATATTGAAATTTCCAAAAATTTCCGAAAATTATACAAACCTTCGGGGGCATAGAGATTTTACGAATTTTCAATAATTAAATAAATTTTCGATCTTTCAAATCTTTATTTTTAATTTTTTTAAGTTTTCGATTTTAATATACTCGCAAATTCCTAAATTCTCAAAATTCAATATATTTTATTTATATAAATAAGAATTTGATATATATCATTGCAAAGAAAATTTCAAAATCCTAGAGATCTTTTCGAGGCTATTCTATTTATTTTATAAGATTTTTCGATTAAAAGAATTTTTAAATTTATTCAAGAATCTAAAAAGAAAATTTTCGGCAGCGCCCAGATTTCAAAAAAAAGAGTC